CTTAAAAATGCCCTTGGAGCCCCAGCCTTATTATATAGCTGTTACTAATGCTCGTTCACACTAGCAGAGCCTCATTACACATTACTGTGTAGTTGTTACTGTCTACTTATGTTCTAAGGACTGTTGTACAAGTGCAATAATCCAAGTCAACAACTATATAGCCTTCCCCTAGCTCCCTACTGTGCAGATATTTTTACATCTAAAGGAAAAATATTCCAGGACATTACAGCCTTTTTTTTTCTTTTTTTAATGCTTTTGTCTACTATAAACACTCTTTTATATTGTCTTTTGTATTTTTATCTTTAATGGCATCTTACTTTAACTCTTTGTACTCTGTATAAGCTACTGGAACCAGAATTTCCCTGAAGGAGTAATTAAAAGGGATAAATAAATTTGAGTCTAAGTCTAAGTACTTTTCGCATTGTTAAGGTCGTGTAATTAAATATTTTGTCTTTTTAATTTGGATTGCTGCCATTATTTCAGCTTTTAATTCGATGTTTGTTTGTCAACTTAACCATTTTCCATATTCTATGGAGGGTTGTTCATTAAACATATCTATTTTTGCTATTTACTTTAGCCATGGTTTATTGTAACCTACTTCCATGCGCAGGTGCAGCTGTGTTGTTTTCTAAATTGACGCCCTCTTACAGGAAAATGACCGAGCCTGATGGTGACAGCGCTCTATTATTGAAACCGAAGGCACCTACCTGAGTGTTTTGGCGTTGTCCATTGCAGCCGTTGGGACGGTTGAACCTCTTCGAAGACGAACCTGTGTTTGGCAACGCTCTAAAATCTCGCATTAATAATCGTCTATCCATAGAAACCGTTGTTAGTCATCTGTCAGAGGCCGGTGCATTCAGTTAGTAGAGTGCGGCTAACCAGCAAGAGCTAGGTGGAAGCAGGGTTACAACATATTTACAAACAACCGTTATTTGATAACATTGTTCCAACTTAAAAAAAAAAATAACAAACGTCTTTTGATCGTCCTACGGCTCGTGTCTCTTCAAATGCGATGTCACGACACGAAGAGCTAATATTTATTCAGAGGAACTAACTGACTTTCCTAGCTACCTTTCTGATATGTTCCTAGCAGCGTCTCCTCTCCGTCTGTAACTTGTGCGGCGTTATAATTTTTGTCCATCCCGCCGATTCTCGCGCCCACCCCTCTGTGCAGGCGGCCTCGTAGTTGATTGGATAAGAGGTAGAGCACTGTAAAACGATTGGTTACTGCTTTAGGAGCACTCTTCGTTCATTAGACAAAACTTCTAAATGGGCTTATTTCATTGGTTAGAAATTTGAAGAGGCGGGTTTTCGGTTACAGGACTGCGCTGTCATGTACAGCAGAATGGGTCTTTTCATTCAGAATGAGGGCGCTGGAAGTGGGTTGTGCGGGACTTCTGGGGGGGTTTCTTTGCGAGGGTTGTTTTTTTTAGGTGTTTATTTTAGAAACATTCTTTTACTTGGCAAACTCGATTAATGTTAATGTTAAAGTTAATTTACTCTTAGTAATTTGCCTCAAAGGAAAACAAATTGTATAGATTTTTTACACACAGAGGGATATTGTCCTGCTTATTTCAGTTGAAACATGTTCCCTGCTTAAATGCATTATGCTCTATACATTAAGTCCACCTTGTGTTGCTCTGAGTTAACATAGACACTGATCGCCATCAAGCTTGATCCCTTGCTTTTTATTTTATGGAATTAATATTTTTAAAATAAAAAAATAAATAAGTTATGGTTCAATCTCTAAACACAACGTTGTCAGCAAAATGTATAAATTTTAATAGTAAAAAAAAAACATTGAAATAATAGTAACTGAATAATGTACATTTCCTTTGTAAGTGATCATCGTTTAAGTAGGATACTGTCCTTTGAGATTACTTTTTGTGTCTCATTTAGACTATTTTAGGTATCACCAGCAACAACTAAGGGATTTAACAACACCTCTTTCCATATTTCTATTTCCTTTTGAATACAGCACCATTAGTTTTTCAATGGTTATAATGTCTAATTTGGAGCCCAGTCCATGAAAAATGATTAATAAAGGATACAATCATTTGTAATACAAAGAGGCTAGATCTGTATGCATCTATATCACATGTGTAGCCTTCCATTACTATCAGACTAAGGGATATTTAACCTGTTCTATACGGCCTGAAGTCCTCTGATATAATCTCCCTGGCCAAGAAACCTTATGTTATCTGTGTCAATTTCTACCATTGAGTTTCACTAACTCCAAGGGATGATATAGTGGTTTGTAAAACAAGTAGGGGTCATATCACCTCACTCCTCCCTCCATTTATGACCTACACTGCTGGTTTGCTACAGGAAAAGATCCAGTGAAGAGGTAGTAGTCATAGCCATTTAGGCTTGTTGCCTCATTTAGAGCCATCACCTGGTGCCCAAACTGATGCTCTCTGGTCTTCTATTTTCCACCTATACGTGGATCAGGAGCTGGTTGACTTCAGAGTTATAGTAGGTCCAGACACATCGATGGTTCTGAGCATCAGCATTGGTTTCCCACAAGGATTTTTGGAGATAAACTGTATAAATTGGATCTTTGGGGCACAAGTTAGTGTGCAAATCTTGACATTTTTGTATAAAGTTCGTTTTTTCTGAAAATTTTGGCCTAAAATAATCTTTGATCTTTGATTTACCTCTGAAGTTGAAACTGGGCAATCGGAATAATATAATGTCTCTCATGGTATTTCCCACTTTGGTGAAATTTTTAAAAATTATTTGGGGGATGGATTATGATTTTACCATGGGTTTAGTTACACATCAAAGGCCTATATCATGCAAAATTCCTCTTTTGAGCACTTATGCTATTACTTTATCAAAATCATGCCCAACATTTCACTCTATAAATGCGTCTCTGAGAAATGTTCAGAATCTCTGCTCTCTGAACAGCAGCATCTTACGCTGGAAAAATAAGGGGCCATAAACATCTTTTGTAGAAAAGTGTTAACTCTCCATGAAGCACCTACCTTGGGTGCGCTGCGCTTGCACAACAAAAAACACCCTTTCCCTGATTAATGAGCAGTGATGTGAAGAAAGCTAATTTCTCATTTCTGCTCAAAGTTGAGACACAGTGGCTCTTTTAGCTCCTATTCTTTACAGTGACAGCAACTTTTCTGTTATTAGGTATTTCATGAAAATGTGTTTTTCATGAAATACCGTGTTTTTCATAAAGGGCCGAATCGCCATCAGTGGTGCTTGACAGCAATGTCATAAAATGGTAGCTACTCCTTTAAAGAATTTTTTTTTTCTCTCAGATTGGGAGAAAACCGCCAATAATTCATAAAGAAAAATCTCTATAGTACTAAAAGCAATATTTCATATGATTAAAAGTCAGTGTATCAGCTGTCCTAAGAGTTCACTGGTTGAGCTAACCTTCTTCATAATGCAAGTTAAAGAGAAAATATCTCTTTATCTCTTTACATTTTACAAAGCAGTAATATTTAACAAAAGTAGGCCTTTGTAAAATATTTCTTAATATTTAAACTGTCAGTGTTTCACTGAAGCTGTTACTACAATGCTTTGTAGTAACATCTTTAGTCTGGGAGTGTTAAATAGTTGGAATTACCTTCTCTACAGACTTAACCCTTTATTGGGCAAGTTACCGTTTTTGATAACTTGCATACTCCCTAGAAATGGAGCCCCCCTTCGTTCCTAAGTGAGATCTAAAAGCGCAAGATCTACATTCAGCAAAGATACTGCTACATGGCTGTACATTTTATTTTGGCATTTGACCAATTAGATGAGCCCTTGAATGATATATTACCTACTGTAAATTAAGTTGGAAAAAGAATAACAAGTCAAGAAAAAAAGTAAAAAGCTAATTGAAAAGTTAGAAAGTAAAGCTAAAGGCTTAAATAAGCCTCTAAGGTTATGTTGTACCTAAAATAAATGTGTTTCTTTCACTATCAGAGTGTTTTTCATAAATTTCTTATAGAAGCACTTTTGTTATTTTTCTTAATATTCAGGCAAGTTGGCGTTTCTTGTTATTACTT